AAAGGGAAATACCCAGCTTCAAAAGTAACTTCAGATCTTCTAAAATCTAAATTATCTCAGAGATAATTATCTTCACTGACCATAAAGGCAGCCGAGCAAAACAGACTCTCAAATTACAGGACCTCAGTTAGGCAGCATAAATCTTAAGCCTTAATACGTAACTTCAAAAGGCATGTGACTAGACACTTTGACTTCAGAGGGATAACATCTGTGTTTAAAATCTGTGTTTAAAACCTTTGCTGAATCAGAAAAACACTGGCCACACTCATGGGCAAAATTCTGATTTAAGAAGGTATCTTGAGAACAGACTCTACACCAACTTTAAAGGGAAGCAGACTACCTCGGAAAAGCATGTCAACAACTGATGATCGTGGCTAAACCCTGAGAGAGCTTAAGTGTTATTTTCATCTAAACTAATTCTTACGCCTTTTAATTCATAGAGCAGTATGTAACTGCTGTGGAAAGGAACAGTACCTATTTTCACATCAATTTTCAGTTTAAAATCGTGTGCTTCAATGCAATTCCTTCCTGACTCTCCAGGCTCATACCTGAATACCAGCATGGTGAGCCAAAGCCAGCCAGCTGAGTGCTTCTGACTGAGCTTAAAGTTTTGGCCACAAGCTAGAGCAGAACAGTGCGCACCTGTTCCTTGGGCTTGCAGCACACTTTCCAAGAAGTTCTCCTAATGCAAATCACTCAAAATAAAGTTCCATCTAATTTGCCTTTCATGAAGTACACACTGGATCTTTGAATTTATACATATTTACATATTTATAATAGGCCTGCAGCTAAAGGGCAGCAAACAGAGAGGCTTGCAATCTTTAATGCGGTCAGGTCTTACAAACTCTGCAAGGTATGGAGGTATCATTGTGGCTGCTTGGCAGATATCACAGACTGAACTGTACACCAAAAATACAGTACATTTATATATATGGTCCTCATTTAGGACACTGAAGCAGTAGTGATACATAGACATTTGGCATCTTAGTAAGATGATGCTGATCTTCTTTCACAATGGCACTTAAAACTGCTCACTGAAGGTTTTTGGTTTGGTTTGATTTTGGTTTTTACAAACAGAGAAGTAAGGCACATTAAATTTAAGCGTATACCAATTATAGATGCACAGTTTAAGAAGTCAAGCGACTTTTTAAAAAATATATTTCTCATTTTTTGCACCAAACTATTTCATAACAGTGCCACTGCTGTATGTGCTATTAGAATTGCTCAGCATTTGAGTTTTAAGCTCTAGTTTTAAAATTAAGTAAAGCTTGTCTTACAGGGTACAACCACAGACAAAGGTAATTAGGAGGCCACGGGAATGAAGAGAATCCCTGCACAGAGATTTGATGGCTTCTGTGCTTCACGATCAAATCTGACCTAAAAGCCTGTAGTAAATCTACTGTGCACAGGACCTGCACACTCTGCCTGAAAAGTGTAGCAGCAGAGATGGGATTACCATGTTGGTGACATTGATTTTATCTTGCAGAGATAAGAGAACAGGCTGAAGTTCTTCTTCCCTTGGAAAATGGGTATACAGCAGCAGAAGAAATACAGTTTGTCTGTGATGCTACGTCTTACATTGGGAAAGATAGGGAAGGAACCAGAATTTGGAATTTGACATTCTTATTCAGCAATCAAGGAGATTGATACATCTGCAGGGCTATGGTGTGCCTTTAATGGGATACATGTGTGCATTAGGCTCCATGCATGCTGATACAGTACACTCATATCCAGTGGGTCTGGCAACCTCAAAGTACAGGTGGCACAGTGATTTTAAAGCATCTCAGATATGCAGTGGGCCCCTAGCAAACTGGTCAGAGCTCCAGCATGATAGCATTATTTCAACATCAAACACCTTACCTCTAGAAAACTGTCGAAGAAACAAAACATCTCATTCCATTCCAGTAGTTCAAATTATCAATGGAAACAAGGGTTTTTTGCATGCCCTCTGCATTCAACTCAGGAAATCAGGAAACACTAGTGCTACTTACATCCATCCATAAATACCAGAACATAACCTACCTGCTAAACCTTTCCTTCTCCTTTGTCCCTCACTTTCCTTCCTCTATAATCCCCACAAAATAGTCAGCCTAGACAAAGTCATATCCTTTTTTCAGGAGCTTACAATGAAAAGTGAGGGACAACTCTATCTGTGAAAGGCACTGCTTCTCTGCAATACTACATGTGCACTTGAGTTTGAAGTGGGTACAGTACTCAAAACATAAAGGAGTAGTTTCAGGAAACCACTGGGGTGTAAATGCTTGTGAACCGATTATGTATTTTGTCTACACGGCACATTTGGTGTGTTAATTACTACTTAGAGCTTCCTCCTTCCTGAAAACAGCTCCTTTATCTTAGTCACATTGTGTTATGGCTTACCTTATATACAGTCTATGACAATGCCACAACCCACATTATTTTTAAAAAGTGATAATGGTTTTAAAGAAACACAAAAGGACAGGAACATCAGAAATTATAACACAGATATGAAGTTGCCCTTCCTTCCCTTCTGCCCAACTTGAACAATAAATAAAAAATAGTAGAAGTTGAGTACTGTATTTCTAAGGCACAGCTCTAAACAAGCCTTCAGTTACTAGAATTTCACTGGTAATTACATCACAACTCCTTCATCATACCAAGATGAGCAAAAAAGACCTTTGACACATATTGCCTTTAAAAGCCTCCCCAAAGGAGTTATAATTGCCAGTAAATAACCACTTCCTCAGACAACACACACACAAAAAATAAATAAATAAATAAATAAATAATAGCAGAGCTTACATAAGCAACAATTAATCAACTGTATCTCTCAGCCAAGATGAAGATGAGACCAACCTGGTGGCAAAAATTGCCATAACTACCCTCATAAGCTTACAGTTTTAAACTCAGACAATGTGTCCAGCTGCCAACAGAACATTGTCTATTTTTCAATTCTGCCAAAACTGCCTTTCAAGAAATATTCTGCAGTAGTAACATAATTCTTATCCTTTAGATATAGCCATCCCACACACCCTTTGTAAAATGAGAAGAAAGCCTTAAATACACAAACTGAAAACACAGACAACATCTGTTATTGGCTCTGCTTCTGTTAATAGTTATGCCTATATTTTAAGACCTTTGAGCTTAAGCATCTAAGTAAATTTTATCACATCAATGACAGTTAGAAGACAGTGTCCTTGTTGCATAGATCACGTTTCAGTATTTTCAGGTCTAAATCGGTATTTTGGAAGGCTGTAGTTAACAGCCTAATACAACTCCTAACAGAAGTCTGTCTGAAATAAATACTAAATTGCAAATACTTTCATTAACCACTGGCTCTAGGCATCAAGATTAAAATGAAGAGGCTAATTTTCAGAAATCACATACTACTTCAAAAGGAAAGTGAAAAAATAAAGGAAAAATTATAAAATAAAATCAAACTTTGGGTCCCTCAAACTTCCCAACTCATCAGAACTGAAATACCAGATAATAGCCTTGGCCAAAGGATTGTGACACATTCATTTTAAAGCCATGTAATACACTTTTTATCTCTGTCTTCATACATGTAGATATCTTCATATTCATTACACGAACAATCACAGGTCATACAAATCCATGAAATCCATTCACCTTTTTATCCCTATCCTGCTGCACAGAGTAATTTGCACTTAATTAATTGGAGTCTTAGAGATGACAGAGCACCACAGTTCCCTTGCATGTAATTTTGTAAAGTAAGACTGCACAGTGCAATGGAAAATTTGTTTATTCATTTGAACTGTAACTATCAGTGCATTGTCATCTATACAGATAAGCGTGGCGTTTTACAGCCCCTGAGTATCATTTCTGAGCAATGAGTTAATTTATAGGCATTAGCATGTCACTGAGAATGCATCTGGTAAAAAAAAAAAAAAAAAAAAAGGAAGATAAAACATTTTGAATGACAGTAGTAATTAAAAAAGTCAATCAAACAGCACAAAGTCTATCTTTACAAAGAATTCCAATAAATCATTTAATGAATTCATCTTCTTCCTAATCGCAAACTACGATTTTACTTCTAAATTACTTTGAACAATTGCATCTGATATGCTCTTCTCCTAATGAAAGTGAAGTCTTTGGAATATTTTGTTGTTCTTCCTTTATCTTAGTATCAATCTGAATTCATCAAACTGAAGTGGAAACACATTGACCTCTCTACATTTGTAATGTAGGAAAAAGATGCTGTGCAGTCATCTGCTCTGACTTAACATAATAAAGGAAAACTTCACTCTGTAATTCACACATTGAATCCAATGACAGTGTTTCAATTCATACAGGCCATTTCATCGAGTTTTAATCTAAAGCCTTAAACAATGACAAATCTTTTCTAGCTCGTGCTTTGACTCCCAGATTTTCAGGAGGATTTTACAAAGGTGAATCAATTCGACAGTATTGCTTCATCTCAAAGGATACTGAAAGCACTTCACTAGCTGAATTATGCCAAAAGCTCTCAGGTAAAGCTTTTCAAGGTAAAGCTTGGTAACTGTTTAACTCAGTCACTGGTGGATTTAACTCTTCAGACTGCCTCAGGTTTAACCAAAATGATCGTTGCCTTTTGTCTTAATAGTACAGGGGGGAAAAAACAATACCTAACATCAAACCCTCAGCTGTGTCTGTGTAACATTTTTGTTCTAGTTTTCTATACATCTTTCACTGATTTTAATAAAGGGTGTATTTGTTCATCTTAATGCAGATAAACTGTCATATTTTATACAATATGGCAATCTTCAACCCTTTAAGGCTATAAATGGCACTTAAAATCATTTCTGCCAACAGTATCCGTTTCCTTGTCCCCTCAACCCACAACAAAGGAAATCACTGTGGATGCAAGAAAGCTTAAGTACTGTATAATGCAAGCAGAGTAACATAAGTACCAAGTTTCCCCACTGCTTTTTCCAGGAGGAAGTCAATTGTGCATATATAATGACATTGGCCTATTGAAAACATTCATAAAAAACAGGTTTCTAATTGATAAAGATACATACCCCTATAATACTTAAGCCTTTCAGGTAGTCCTGACGAGGTTGGGCTTGAGGAACACAGCCTGCTAAAACCACTTTCTTGTTCCCTTCTTGGGCTTTCCTAAAGAAGACAGACAGACAGTGTTAGTATTTTCTAAAGCGATTGTTTTCAATTTCAAAGTAGCCATACTATGCACGCAACAAGAGAGCAACCACAATGAAAACATTCCCAAGTCAGAATCAACTTGTACATGTATGAACCAATACAACAGAAGAACCCTGTACCAGAGTTCAGGCTACATGTGCACATGTGGCTCAGTTTGTGAAGTATCTACAGAGAGCATTACCATTGTACATCTTGGATGTAAATACAACTTTGAAAGCCCTAATCAAATGCAGTTAATCTTTATTGTCCACAATGACAGCAATTCACAAAGAATTTCATCAAGAAAGATGGGACAGAGAAATTGCGAGTCAAGAAAGGCTATACAGAATGCAGGGGACATCCTATGCAGATAGGACCCACTAGTTCAGAATGTAAGCAGCTATTTAATACGACTTAGAAATGACCAATTGCATCATTTTTCTAAATTTTTATTGCAAAAAAAATAAGCAGACTGAGCATTTTTAAGCTTTAATTGCTTGTCTTTGGCAGATAAATTTTTGTGTGAATATTGACTTAAAGAATTCCTCAGCTTTGGTACTACCTTAGCACCAAGTGGGAAACTAAAACATTAAGTTCAAATGGATAACACCATTAATTTCTTTAGTAATATTTTGACTCAGTTTAAATTCAATACTGTGTATTAAGCCATCACTGAATTTTGGAACTATAGGAAGCCCTGAACACAAAACAGTGGGATATAAAACCTTCGTATGTTCATTAAACTTTGAAAATCATTCATTAACGTATCAACCCTTTTAACAATTACTGCATCTTTGCCAACAACCTGGCGAGAATTATATGGAGGGTTTTCATTTAGGTTCAACGTGAGTAGGGGATGGAGATCTGAGCAGCAGCATGACCCAGGCATTGTTGATGCATTAGAAACCAGAGAAACACCTGAGAAACACCACATAGGAATTAGGGCTTCTTCCCTCAGAAGGGTGGCAGGATTAACAGTCTGGCTGAAACATTTCTATACCAATGCACATAGCATGGGCAACAAACAGTGGGAGCTGGAAGCCACAATGTAGCTAGAAAACTGCTATATAACTGCTATCCTGGAAATGTGGTGGGATGACTTACACAACTGGAGTGCTGTGATGGATGGCTAAAAGCAACTGGCTATTATGGCTCTATGTGTATGGCTACATATACATATATATGGACATATATGGCTATAATGACTGGGGAGGGACTCTGTCAGGGAGTGCAGTGATAGGACAAGGGAATATGGGTTTAAATTAAAAGAGTTCAAATTTAGATTAGATATTAGGAAGAAATTATTTCCTCAGAGGGTAGTGAGGCACTGTTGCCCAGAGCAGCTGTGGATGCCCCATCCCTGGAGGTGCTCAAGGCCAGGCTGGATGGGGCTTTGGGCAAACTGATCTAGTGAGAGGTGTCCATGCCCATGGCAGGGGGTTGGAACTGGGTGGTCTTTAAGGTCTATGGTTCTATGATAATCTGCAAAACAGTAGAGGAGGGAAGCACTGAATAATATTAGCAGATTTGCTAGGTCTGACATACAAGTTGCTCTAAGAACTGCCATTCACAGTTGCATGTTATATTGCAACCTCATGGCAGACTTCTGTCAAACTGGAACCTTCTATGCACTTTTTTTTTTTTCCCAGCAATATATAAGTTAATGAAGTGTTTACTGTTATGTTGAAATAGACTAAGTCATATCATAACATTTTTCATAAAAATTCTCTTATCCAAAATACTCAATTGTTTATATGACTTTACACTCTTTGGCTTGCTTGAGCTACCTCCCAAACTGAGTGAACTAGAGAAAGTAATGTTTGATGAGCACAACAAGAATGCTAAACTACCTGGAAATCTAGATGCAAAACTCCAGATACAAATTTAATGAAAAAAAAAAAACCTTACAAAACCAGACTGATACTACAACCAGTTCTGCTACTGAGTCACAATTTTCACTTTGTAATTATAATGTGGACAAATGTATTTGCAAATTATACCTCAAATGAAAATATAATCTCATAAGAACACAGGTATTGTAAAATTACAGAACACAGCCCATCTTGCCAAATAACTTGTGTAGGCAGCTGCATTAGAAATGAGGTATTTTGAAGGAACAAATTAAATATCCTATATACAGACAAGTGTGAATTAACATAAAAATGTATTACACCTATTATATCATGTCTAATATAAATGCAGTAAATATATCTATAAAGTTTTCCATTTTCTTTTAGTGGAAATTTCAGGAAATCTTCAGATATTCATCACACAGAGCCTCATTGGTCCTCTACTGGCATGCTACAATATTCAATATAAATGTAAATCCTTTCATCTATCCACAAAAATTTTATCAAGGAAGAAAGAACTATGATGAAATGCTAATTTAGTACATTTCTTAGGCCGGGAACCTAGCAACTTGTCTCTAAAATTGGCAATCCTTTTCTTTCAGTGGTAAATATTTAAGGTTTCTGCAAAACTTCTATAGAGGTCACCTACTTCTACTTATCCAAGTCTAAAAGAAGGAAAAAAAAAAAAAGAAAAAGAAATATATATCTACTTCATGCATTACCTAAAAATGTCACATACCACCATGTGACACTCCACTAGCTCAAAGGATAAAAATCACTACTTACATGGTCTAACAGACTCAACCTAACGCCTCAAGGCAAGACAATAAGACCTGTCTCCAGCAAACAAAGCACCCATCCCTAGGCAACTGTGCATCTGGTATAATCTGCTGCTAGCAACAGCCTTCTCCATCTACTTGAAAACCTGCAAGCACTACAGAGGAAAAAGCTTTTATTCAAGTCTTTTTATCTGAAGAGAAAAATAAACAAAGTTTCCCTTGACACATTAAATGGCATTTTAATGTTATTTCATAGCTTTAACATTTTGCCATATCTTCTGGGACTATAACTGGAGCTAGGGGGAAGAAAGTTAAACTGAATGTTCCTCCTAATAAGCACTGCCTTCATTTAAATGTTTTTTAAAGTTGTGCAGGTCTCTAAAGAATAAAGAATTTTGTACAATGAAATTTTTTGCTTTAAAATGCAATTAAACAGAAATGTTGGAACTAAATTTTCAATCATAGTTGATATTCATTGCATCCATGTTACACTGTACAGTCCATGAAATCCAGCATAAAGGAAAAACTGTAGTAAGGAAATTATGAAAATTTTTGCCTCATTTATCAAGAAAGCACTTCTGAAAATATGCACTCCAGCACTATATTGTTACCTCCTTTTAATATTGTTTAATGAGCCCTGCTCATACTAACAAAAGCCTACAAAAATTATTCTTTAGAAGTCTAGTTAGCACGGCAACTATATTAGAAAAGCCTTTATCCTTCAGAAAACATGAATAGTAATGAGAATAATACTTTATGGAATCTAGTAGTAGCATGAATAAATACATCTTCCCTTTCAGACATCTTTTGTATTTTTCAATTACATGATCCTTACCTTGAACTTTCAATTTATTTGTATCAGGACACATTTTCTAGAAATGCACTCTTTTCTAAAAATTGAAAGATATATAATCTGAAGAGAAATTTAATTACAGCAATTCGGTTTCAAAGAAAAGAATTATTCTAGCTACTTTCTAAGTAATGGGTGTGGAACGAGAACAAGTGAGTAAAAACAGGGGTACAGAAAAGATCACTGTGCAGCAGAGGACTTTTAAAAGATTAGTAGTGAGTTTGCAGATTATCCTCTGTATCCTCTGCAGATATAGCCATTGCAACTGTACTTCTGCTATCACATTTAATGAAATGTCTTCAATGTTTTCTGCCTTTTTTGTTTGTTTGTTTTTGTAATACAAGCTAAGATGTAACTAAGAAAGTAACTAGGGAAGAAATTTCTTCCCTGTCTATGTGGATATCAGTTTGCATTGTCAGAAACTGGCAAAACTGGAATATTCTGCTCACAGTTTTACACAACTGAAGAAACGAGGGTTCCTTTTCCATCAAATTTTTTTTTTGAGCTCCAAGAAAGACATGACATGGATAAAGAAATGACTCCCACCCTTCAAAAAGGGTTACGTCACCCATAACAGCTTGCTTCATCAGCACTGTGTATAGCAACACTGCTGGATACCATAGTAGCTGCTGCTGTTAAGTTGTATGATTTTTTCTTAGCTTATACAGCTATACAGCTATTCAGGTAGAAGCACCACAGGAAAAACAGTTAGGGCCCTTTCCTCAATGTTCAAATTTAGGGAAAGCAATTTAAGAAAATAAAAACAGACAAAAAAAAAAAAGGAAAAGAAAAAAGAAAAAAAAAAGATGACAAAGTTCAAAGAAAAACAGATCTGTGACATCAGAAGTAATTGCCACCTTGCTTTTTGTGAGACAAGAGAAGCCAAATCATTACAGCCTACCTGATCTCTTTCCCTTCCATAAGCAGAATTGTCCATAGGACTTCACAGACCCTGTGAATTCGCCACAGAATGACGCTTAGCTTTCAGGGAGCCACTTACCAAAATACCACAGCTGCACCCTAAAGCATGTCAGATATCTGAAATTTAAATCAGTATGTTCTGCAGGGTGCAAAGGTGGCCAACTACAGACTATTCAGCATGAAACATGCTATCTCTAAACTGCTGCTCTGATACCAGATGTCAAACCAAGGATTATGCGTTCTTAATGTGTTTCTGCAGCACTGAAGTAACAGGACTTACCAAAAATTATAGTTAATCACAGAATCATTCAGGTTGGAAAAGACCTCTCAGATCAAGTCCAACCATCACCTAACAGTACAATTCCACTGCTAAACCATGTCCCTGAGCTTCACATCCACATGGCTCTTAAACACTTCCAGGGGCAGTGAGTCCATCACTTTCCTGGGCAGCCTGTTCCAATGCCCAAGCATTCTTTCTATGAAGAAATTCTTCCCAATATCCAATATAAACTCCCCTGCACAACTTGAGGCCATTCCCTGTAGTTCTATCACTAGTTACCTGTGAGAAGAGGCCGA